GGAGACTCGCCCAGACTGCGAGGGGCAGGAGGGGGAACAGAGTGGCTTCCTAGAGGACTTCACACTGAAATCCACAGCCACAGGAGAGATCGGAGTCAGCTCCAGGACCAGGGCTCCAGCAGGAGCCCAGGGCAGAGGTGGAGGGGCCCCGTGAACGTCACACAGGTCCCCAGTGGCAGGAGCGAGAGAGGAAGAGGAGAAGGAGAAGCAATACGGCCAGAAAGGCCAAGAGACATCCGCTCCTGCAAGTGAGTCCAGTGCTGTCCAGCAGGACTGTAATGTGGGCCACAGGCAAAGTGTTAACGCTCACAGTAGCCACATTCGGAAAGGGGAAGTAGGTGAGGCCGGCCTGTGCGGCTCAGTGGCTATCAACCCAGGCACCAAGAGGTCGCAGGTTCGATTCCCGGTCAGGGCACATGCCCAGGTTGTGGGCCCGATCCCCAGTGGGGGGCATGCAGGAGGCGGCCGGTCAATGTTCTCTCTCATCGATGTTTCTATCTCTCTCTCCCTCTCCCTTCCTCTCTCTCTAAAATCAATACAGGAAAATAATTTTTTTTAAATATATAACATTAACTTTAATAATATGTTTTACTAAACCCATTAAAAATGTTATCATTTCCACCTGGCCAGTGTGGCTCAGTGGTTGAGCGTCGACCCATGCACCAAAAGGTCGCTGGTTCGATTCCCAATCGGGGCACATGCCCAGGTTGTGGGCCCGATCCCCAGTGGGGGGCATGTAGAAGGCAGCCGATATTCTCTCCCATCGATGTTTCTCTCTCTCCTCCTCTCCCTTCCTATCTAAAATATATAAAGAAAAAATTTTCTGGAAAAAAAAAAGTTATCATTTCCACACGTAATTGATGGTGACCATTCGCAAGGAGGTAGCTTGCATCCTCTCTCATCATCATCAAGTCTGCAATCGGGTGAGTGCACTCCCGCACATCGGTGTGTGTGCTGCCGCATTTCCGGGCTCGGGGCCACGTGTGGCCAGTGGCTGCTGTGTTAGGCAATGCAGGTCTGCTAGACTTTTCTCCCGAGTGCAACGGGAACAGGCCTTCAGCGGAGGTGTGCCTTGGAAAAATCTCCCTGGTAGCGCGCAAGGGAGACAAATAGCTTTCTGGAGGCTGTCACCACCATCTGGGTGCTGTCACCTGCTGGGACACCTCAGTTTATAAACTGGCAACCTGGGAGCAAAATTTCTTCTTTGCCGACTACCCTGCAACGGTTTGTGTGAAGGCAGCTTGGGGATGCAGACCGCGGAGCCTGGGTTTCGTCCAGCGTTCTGAGGAGGGGAAGCTGCTCTCAGTTCCCATCTGGTTCTAATCACCTTTCAGATGCCGACCTGGACCGGGCTCCCTAGATTTTTCACCTTTGGGTTTCTCGTCTGTGAGACTGCAATGCCAGCACTCACCTCCAAGGCCTGGGCTATGGACAAAACGAAGCAACATGTGTCAAATGCCTCATACTTCGACCGATAAAGAATTGATCAAAAAATGGTAGTTTCTTTCTAAGTTATCATCAAAGGGACTTTCATAGCTCCAAGAGCAGCTTAGAGGATATAAATCCTGACAGCATGACTAGGGGGTCAGACTGCTTTAGCTGTCTCTTGGAAAGACTCCCAACCCCTTCTGCATCCCCCACATAGGGACTTCAGTGCATTTCAGAAAGAAATGTCTAAAAAATATGCAGATTACAGCCAGCCCTGTAGGGGGGAGGCTTTTTTTCTAGCTTCACAATCAGCATTAACTGGCAAGAATACAGCTTTTTCATTTCCCTGAGCTCCATCTTCCTGGGGAAGCAGCTTTAAAATTGTTCCTAATCTCCAAGGAGTTTCCAGGTGTTTAATGACTTGCCAGGGTTATAAACAACTGAATTCTGGGAAACCGTTATGTGAGATGTTACCTACCATGTTCCTGTGCCTTTGAGAATCAAATCAAGCAATCTAGTCTGGGGGAAGTAGGACAAAGCATCGGTTTTAAAATCCGACAAACCTGAGTTTGAACCACAATTCTGTTGCCCTGTTGCCGATAGCTATCGAATCTTAGGACAAATTGCTTTATCCCTTGGAGCATCAAGGAACTTATCTGTAAAAGGGGGATGATATATATCTTGCAAGGTAAGAATTACATATGGCCCTGGCCGGTTTGGCTCAGCGGTTGGAGCGTCGGCCTGCGGATCAGAGAGTCCCGGGTTCGGTTCCCGCTAGGGGCATGTACCAAAAAAAAAAAAAAAAGAATTACATATGCAAGGTAAGAATGTATTAGTTATCTAATACTGCATAACAAATTACCCCGCAAAACGTATTAGCTTAAAACATTTGTGATCTCCCAGTTCCTGTGGGCGAGGAACTGAGCTTGGCTTAGCTGGGTCCTTGGGCTTGGGAAGTCGCCCAAGGCTGCAATCCAGGTGTCAGCCAGTGTTCTGGTCTCATTTCGAGGCTCTACTGGGGAAGGGCCTGCTTCTAAGCTCTCTCATTGGCTGTTGGCCTTGCCATGTGGGCCTATGGAGATAGGGCAGCTCACAACAGGGTATCTGGTGTCTTCAGAGCAAGAAGGCAAGAAGAGTCGGAGAGAGAGACTGCAAGACAGAAGTCACAGTCTTTTATAACCTAACCTTGGAAGTGACATCCCCTCACTTTTGCTGTATTCTGTTGGTTAGAAGCAAGTCACTAGGTCTAGCCCACATTCACTGGGTGTGAGTTTCAGGAAGTGAGGACACTTAGAAGCTGTCTGCCACAATATTTAAAGATTCTCAGTAAATAGTAGCTGCTACTATGACCAAATAAGAGAGTGCTTTGCAAAGCAACCCTCACCACAGAAGCAGAAGAAATCTACTGGATTCTGTATTAGGGTCAAGAAATTTAACAATCATATAACACTATCCGTCTATAAAAGATGTTGATTCTAACCGATGCAAGGTCATCCAAAGACTTCGTTTAGAGATGCATTTAATTTATATTAAATACAGAGTCGATAACTTGTTACCAAATAACAGTGTTTGAACACTTGAGTTAAAAGGCACATCTTTCCCTTACATAATGTTTTATCACATCTGTAGTTATTTTAGGATGCTCATGTTTTTATGGGGATGCAAATAAAAATATGCATCTTGATTTTCTGATTAAGCAATATTATTAAGGCATTTGATCCTGCTGCACGCTCTTTTTTTAAAATTTTTTATCCTCACTTGAGGACATTTTTCCATTTTAGTTCAGATGCAGTGGGAGGGAGAGAGAGGAAGAGAGAGAGAGAAACAGCGACATGAAAGGGACACATCCAGTGGCTGCCTCCCACACGACTCCTACCGGGGCCGGGGACGAACCGCAACTGAGGTACATGGCCTTGACCGGAATCGAACCCAGGACTCATTGGTCTGCAGGTCGATGCTCTAACTGCTGAGCAAACTGGCCAGGGCTGTATATTCTTTATAATTATCACTTTAATAGCTATGTAACATTTCCATTCAGGAGAAAAATGTAAGAGTCACAGTTTACTTAACCATCCCCTTTTTCCATGACATATAAGTTGCTCTAATGTTTTGCCCTTAAAAGCAGTGCTATGATTGAGCACCTTTTGTGTGGTAAGGTTTTCTTCCCCCCATAATTTGAATTATGTCTTTAGGATAAAATCCCAGGAAAAGCAGTCAGAATACACACATTTCTAATGGCTCTGTCAAGTTTTCACCCAGATGAGAAAATGGCTTTGGTTTTTATATAAGCAAACATTGCTGCTCCATCCGCCCCAGACTGAGTTCCTCAAAGGCAGACACCCTAGCTTAGTTTTTTTTTAAACATGGCATCTTGCCTCTAAGCCACATTTGATGAGTATCGTGGGCTGAATGAATTAACAAAAATATTTAAAAATCTGAGACTTTAGGGGAAATATTTAGGCTAAATCTATTGAAACTTTTTTTCAATCAGGAGATGTTGCATTTCCATTTAGAAATCACTAAGTGAAGGATGTTCTGATGCCAAGCACTGGGCTCTCTTTTGCCCTTTGTTGTTGTTGTTGTTGTTGTTTTATCTTCAGACAGAGTGGAAGGAAGAGAGAGAGAGGAGAGAGAGAGAGAGAGAGAGAGAGAGAGAGAGAGAGAGAGAGAGAGAAACATCGATGTGAGACAGACACATTGACTGGTTGCCACCCATACAACCCCAACTGGGGCCGGGGACAAACCACAACTGAGGTACGTGCCCTTGGCTGGAATCGAACCTGGGACTCTTTGGTCCACAGGCCAACACTCTAACCACTGAGCCAAACCGGCCAGAGCTCTTTTGCCCTTTTCTTATCTCATTTAATCCTCACACCATCCCCTGCAGCTCATTTTCCACACAGCAACAGAATGAAATGTCCAAAGCATAGATCAGCTGGTCAAACACTGCTTTTATAAAGGGTCCCAGGAGACATCTGTCGGCCCTCATCATTTGAAAACAAAACAGTAGGTCCTCTTCTCTGGGGAAAATACGAGCTCTCTGGAATGTCTACATAGCTGGACACAAAATTTTCACCCAATACCAAGAATCATGGGGATTTTTTTTTTTAAACATAGTTCAGCCCAGGGAATGAGTCATTTTAGCCAAACTCTAAGTCAGAGTGATAAAACATAGGTAAGCAGGAAACAAATGACCATCAGAAAATAACTTTATTGGTCAAAATTTACTGTGGCGGATATGTCCTGCCACTCTGCTGCTTGTAACTCTTGGAATTCCACAGTAACCCTCACCTGTCACTCCTCTTTTAAAAGAAATTTTAATTTATCATTTCAGGAGCTATCAATCTCATTTTTTAGACCCCAGAGACCAAGTTGCTTGTACAGATCAGAGTGTGTGAGTGACACAACCAGAACTTATCTGCACCCAAGGTTCAAGACCATCTCAGGTTTCACCACTAACTTGAACCACAGCGCCCCCTGGTGGGCGCCCAGCGTCTTGGCTTTTCCAGGTCCTCTACACTCTGGCGACATCTCACAAAAGGTGCACTTCCGTTTGTCTCCCTCTCTCTCAGGTGAAGGAGGCCATGCAGCGGATCCACGACCGAGGGAACATTGGCAAGTTAATTCTGGATGTAGAGAAGACCCCGACTCCACTGGTGAGTCCAAAGCAGAGGGATCCATTCAGTTCAACACAAAAGGGGCGGATCAGATGCAGGACACAGGTGGGACAGAGGGAAATACAGGCAGCTCATGGGCTGGCGGAGGCGGCCGGTGAGCATCCCACGATGGAGCAAAGAAGGGATGTCACACACTGAGATAAACGCTGAGGAGGAAAGGAGAATTCTTCTATGAGAGCATTTCAAGAGCAATCTAAGGGCAGTCAGGGAAGGACAGACACAATCGACCTGAGTCTGTGACAAGCGCTATCTCTTGGCTGTCACGAATACAGATGGATGCCAACTACCTCTGCCGTCCCTCCTGATGATCCCATTGATTTTGCTTTCTTTTATCAGGATAAAACCCTTATATCCAGGGGTCTCACTAGGAGTGAAGCATGACAAACTCACACCCCAGATGCTCTTACAGTAGACACTGGGGGGGGGGGAGGGTGGTCAACACAGAAGCTGCCACCAGGCTGCAGGACTCAAAGTCCCGCTCCGAGCTCCTGTGTGTGACCTGGGCAGCTACTCTGCCTCCCCAGCTTCCATCCCCGGCCTGTAAATTAGAGGCTGATAAACTCTCAATTAGAACGATACGCAGACTGTCTCATACACACGAAATTCTAGGAAAGGTTAGACAAACAAAATACTTAGGGAGGTTCTTGGTTTTCTCACATAGTTCATCTTGGAGCTGCATCCGTCATTTATTAAAGAGAAAGAACTGAAATGCCGTGCACGTTTTAGTCCAAAACTTGTCCTTTTAAAAAGTGTTTACTGGGCTTTTATGACCATGCTACAGTTCAGGGGTGAAGGTCGTTTCACTCAGTGAAGGGCAGGTGCCTGAGCAGGCATTTCACAATGTGTAAGTGACTGCTAACAACACGGATATAGTTCATGAAGTGCCTGCTAAGGTCCAGGACTGTGCCAACAAATGTTTTAAGCAGATGAGGGGACGGGGTTCGAGAGGAGAAGTCAGTTGGGATCTTGGGTCTTCTGTGCACCTGTGTCGTGTTCTTTAAACACGTGACCAAGTCTGTTTCGGCCCATCAGTGTGAGGCAGCCCGGTCTAGAGGCATCCTGGACTGCCTGTTGCTTCCAAGCAAATAGCTGGCACTGGCTTCCACCTGTGCCCAGGACACATGAGGGCCCTGGGGCTGATAGGAAGGCCTTTTTGACCCTGGGGGCGGGGGGTGGGAGAGTGGTTCTTATTAGAGCAGGAGCTGAACAGCACACCTTTCAAGGTGAGAACTGAAAATCTGCCTGGGCATATATCATTGTCCTTGTTCCTGAATCTTGGGAGGCCTTTTACCCTGGGACTTGAGGCAACAAAGAGATGATGGACAATGGGCCAACTCACATCTGGATTTGGAGCATCTCTGGGGCGGGTGGAGGCCATTGCCCATCTGGATGGAAGACCAGGCTCGAAGAAATCCTCTCCCAAATTCCAAATACTTGCACTCAAATCCTTAGCTCAGAGACTGCTTCTTGGGGTGCCCCGCGTCAGACAGCTAATAGCACACTGCGCCCCTGGGCAGCAGGCAAGCCTAGCTCTTGGCCCTTAACGAAGTCCTTCCGAGTGGCTTCATCAGATGCTCGGAGAAGGGGGCGGGTGAGGCTGCAGAGCCCTCTCACGGGTCCGCTGTTGAATTACAGATGGCCAACGACAGCACAGAGACCAGCGAGGCGGGAGAAGAGGAGGAGGACCATGAGGGTGACAGCGAGAACAAGGAGCGGATGCCCTTTATCCAGTAACGCAGGACCCAGCCAGAAGGATGAAGGGCGGTTTGGAATAGGAGGAGCCAGCTGAGAAAGCTCCTCTGTCCCAGTGAACAAATGCTGTAGTCCAGTGCGTGTCGTGTTTGTCTGCAGTCAGCTGAGCTAAAAAGCTTTCGATCACTGTTGTTTTTCGAAATTAAGTGCCAATCCCCATTCCATGCAGTATTATGTCCCTCCCGCCTCTATGTATTACACTCTCCCCTTTCCCCTGTTCCAAAACCATCCATCCTTAAGTCCTTCTTGACAGTTCTCAAACAGCCTAATTAGTACAAGCCCACAGGCCCAGTGCCTAAGAGACCAGACGTGGGCAAAGACAAGTTTGGGTTGGAAGGTGTTATCACAGAGCAATCTCCAGATCCCAGAATTTTCAGGCCAATGACACTTTCGCTGCCGGCCACCCTGCTTCTGATAAGGACACTTGCCGATTGGGCCGGCAGACAGAGGGTAGGCCAGATAATTTCATGAGCCCATAAATTTAGCATCTCCCCAAATAGTACTTTCCTCTCCCCCAACGTCCTTGTATTTATTCAATTATCTCATGGTCGGAAGGTTGAACCACTGACTCACCCTCTGAAGCTTGATCCCTTCACTGGTCTTGTCCATCGACACAGGGAAACAGGTCCAATTTTTTCAGGATAGAAAATGGGTCAACATTATGAGTTTGCAGACCAGCCACAGAGATTTCTCCTCTGAAACCACAGCTCATGAGTAAGATCCACCCCCCTACCATATATATTTTATCTTAGTTTTAAGAAAACTCACCACGTGCGGGACTATTTCAGAAAGCATTACTGAGACTCGCCTGTGTTTGCACATGCACTGTTGGCATGACCAATGTTGCTATATCCATTTCCTAATAGTGAGCAGCCACCTTTACCATGGAACCCCCTCACCCCTCCGAGGAAGACCTCCCTGGAGATGATATTTGGGGGGAAAAAATCAATGTATCCTTTTACTTGCCAAAGTATGTTCCAACATGTAATGAATTTTAGTGGTACAAAGTTGGCGTGCGGTATCAGATGCCAAATGTGTGGTTCCTCTCCTCTGAGATATAAAATCATGGTGCAAACTCTACAGGACCCCTGCACTGGGGGATTGGGGACCAAACCACCTGACTGCACACCCTTGTTTAATAGTGTAGCTCCTAATCTTCGAAGAAACCCCGCTCTTTGCCCCACCCCACTTGGCATGCAGAGATGAACAAGTCCCTGCAGGAAGAGAAAGAAACTCAATGTCTCCACAAGGGGGCTCCTTCTACCCCCCTTTCCCGTCCTTTGGTCCCAAAGGGTTGACTCCATCACTCATAAACCATACTGGAAACACAAGAAGCTCACACAGTTAAGCACCGCAACTCACTTTCCGTTCTGGAAGATTCTGGAGGGTTCCCACTTTGCCCGATCTCTCCACCAATGAGCCTTAGGGTAGACCCAACTCTTCCTCAAAGTGATGGCAGTGAATGCATTCCAGCAGTTAGCTCTTTTGTTCTTCAAGTCCTTTTCTGACAAATGTCTCCTCGTTACTCATGTCCTTTTTTCTCACCCTAAGCTCGTGATGATGACTTATTTATGCCAAATGTTTACCTGAAGCGAGTCTCTCGTTGTGAATGTGCGTGTGAAATATAAAAACGAGAAAGGTGCCGCCATGTGACGAGCAGACAGACGAGGGTCTCAGAGAGAACACCCACACCCTCTTCTCTTCCTGCCCCAGGGTGCACCATGTCCCAGTTCTGTGCCATTAAGAGGGAGCATGTTGAGGTTTTGTCCCAACACCTTTGCCAAATGCTGTATTATTGGTTGTGTTTCTCCCATAACCCAGCAGCCAATGGGGTCTTGAGAAGACCATCTCTGCCATTTCTGTCCAGCCACCCACGTGACATCCCCGGCAAGCTGGACAGAAATGGCATTTTCCAGGGCTGACGGGGCAAAGAGCCCCTGGCCGAATCAGGGCTCGCCTCTGCCAGGTGTGGGAACTCCCCAGCCGGAAGCCAGAGGGCCTTATGTCCAGAGGAGAAACTTACAAAGTCGTTCCTCCCGAATCTGTGTGCTCAACTACAAGTAATACAATAATCACAAATAATGCCAGTAGGCTAAAGAAAACCCTTTCACCTCAGAATACAGAATGAGAAAACTAGAGTTGGACCAATACGATCAAGTTATTCCACAACGAACAGAAAAAAAGAAAGAAAAAAAAAGAATCAAAGTGATCTGTTTAATGCACCCTCACCTGAAGCACCTTTTCCCCGTCCTGTGGCTTTTTCTGAAGGAGCTGTAAGAACGTCTCAGTTTGCCTTAAAGGAACTGTGAAGGCTTCTCTGTCATTTAAGCTTGATTGGAGTGAAATGAAACATTGTCTAACGTATTCGTGGCTTTAGAGCTTTTGTTATATTGTGCCTACAAAGCAAATTATGTTTACATAAAAAATATAAATAAAGTATTCAGCATAGCATAGCCTCGCCTGGTATCAGTTACTCCACGTAAATAGTTGTTGGAAAAGCACCCCCCACACCCCCCACTAAAACCTAAGGAATGCAATGGGAGGCTGAAAGAGGGGGGAAAGGGTGATAGATGAGTCTCCAGATGAAGAACTGAAGATGACATGGAAAACGTAGGGTAGAGAAGAGACAAGCCTTTAAAAAGACATTCATTCACATTTCCTCAAGCAAGAGAATAAAACCACTAAATAAAAGAACTACCAAAGGCAAATAATAATAATGATGACAATAATTTCAATGGCATTTATAAGACACTTACTATATGCTGTTAAAAGAGCTAAACACATTGTATCAGCTCTCTTACCTTCCCAACAGCCCCGAGAGGTAGGGTTTGTCATTGCGCCCGTGTTCGAGGGGACAAGCCTGAAGCATAGGAGATCTTGCCTAAGATCGCACAGCGAGTAAGGGACGGAGCCTGAATTTTTGAACCAAGCTAAAAAGCACGCTCTTAACTACCCTATTGTGCTCTCTTGTCTTAAATAAAGTAAAAATATGGTGCATTTCAAATCACCATGCCTTAGTCACTAGACACTCTTCAGGGGCTCTGCTTCCTCGGATTTCAAGGATATGTCTGTCAATTTGTTTTGCTTTGTAGCAAATAATATGCGTATCAAGAAACACGTTCCCCCCCTGGCTTTCCCTCCCAGTGTTCGGTGAAGTGCTGATTTTAAAACAGCACACATCTCAACTGTGTTTGCTTTCATGATCTAACATCCTCAAGGTCATCAAAGAGATACACAGAAGTAAATTTCCGAAGGCTAAGGTTTCACAAAAGAGGAATTCGTGATTAGGGAGGCTTTACAGTGTTTACCATATTTCTCAGCAGGAAGCACAAAATCTAGAGCCTGTCCCCCATGGCAGTAAAACCGCCACACATATACATACACCTGAGTTTACAAAGTGGAAAAGTTAGTTGTGTTGTCAGTGAACTGCTTAAGGTCACTGCACACAGGATTTTCTCGTACGTTCTCATTTACTGCTCATGTGCTCCATGTAAATCTCGTGGCCTCGCAGAACCAGAGCCGTCACTATTGCATTTAAACACAGGCCAGCAATGCCCAGCCGGTGTGGCTCAGTGGTTGAGCATCAACCCATGCTCCAAGATATCACCGGTTCGATTCCTAGTCAGGGCACATGCCCAGATTGTGGGCTAAATCCCCAGTGAGGGGCATGCAAGAGGCGGCCGATCAATGTTCTCTCTCATTGATGTTTCTCTCTCTCCCTCTCCCTTCCTCTCTAAAAGCAATAAAGGAAAAAAATATTTTTTTACATAAAAATAAAAATAAACACAGGCCAGCAGCAAACACGGGCATCTCCACTAAAATCCACCTGTTCACTTATCACTCTGAGATTGGGGAAGGGGTGTAGCAGCTGGAAACAGAATTCTTTCCAGCAGCACGGATCTGGTTAGGGTAGTGATGGAGGTAACCCTCTCAGAAGCTGTGTAGGACACAGCGAGACATTGTGTAAAAGCAGAGCGGTGAGAACGTTTGAGGGGCGTGTTGGAGGAAAAGAACAGTGTCGCTGAGATACACGTGGGCAGGGCTGGAGCGGAGGAGGAGACACGCCTGCTGGGAAGTTGGTCCTGGGTTTGGAGATCTTTCCTTGTCAACCTGATAATCGTGAGTTGCCATGGAAAGGAAGAAGGTTGTACATGGTGTGATGGGAAAACTTGGGGTGTGGAGGCAATTACTAAGAGTAAATGCAGGGTTTCACAGAAAGAGGGATCTGAGAGGGTCCTCCAGGTGGCCTGGAGTTAGATATTAAGTCCCTTGCCCTGCTCTGGGTCCTCCAGGATCAGACATTGAAACAAGGATTTGAACGTCAGCAGCAGGGGAGGTGATCTGAGAAACACGGCTGGGGGAAGAGGCACATAAAACAGGAAAAGGAAGAAGGCAATCCAGGTGTGTCGCCCAGCAGGTTACGCTGTGGAAGACCATAGACCTGCCCCACGGTCTTTCCACCTGAAAGGTGACGAAGTTATCATATTGATCCCTCTAGTCCCATGCATCGATGGTTGAGGGCTGCTCCCAACAAGCCTGTTGATTCCCTGACACCCTTGACCTTCCCCTTGTGTGAACCAAGCACACTGCGGTGGCCAGATGATGCCCTCAAGGCAGCCACAGGAAGCCGCTGGGGCAGATGGAGGCAGCGGGGAGAAGAGGACCACGTGTCCACAGCTCCTACTATAACTCTTCTAGGGAGCGTACTCGTTATTCTGAAATTGAAGGCGGAAGCTTTCGAGGCCTCCGCAAACGATACTGGCGTCTTGCTAAGCACGTCCCGGTTCCGGCTCTCCCGCTGCCCACACCACCCTGCCTCCCTGCTTCGGTGGCGGTAAGTGGTTCTTAGGGAGGACAGTTTCTGCTCAGAAGAGACAGTCAAAATGCCTCTTCATCCCAACAGGATGGCGCACTTTGATCTTCCGGCCAAATTTCAGATCTCTTCTTCATTTGGGGCAAGCAAATCTGGGGTTCTCTGTTACACGAAACCACACGTTGTTCTGGAAATTTTAGTGAACATTTACTGGGTGCAGGGCTCTGTTCCAGGTCCCAGAACTTGGAAGAATATAGGATACAGACCTTTCTTCAAGAAATGTACAGCCTAGAACTATGCTAGTCCACACACACACACACACACACACACACGGTGGGGCCAAAGTAGGTTTACAGTTGTTCATATGGAAAATAATACAACAAATAGTAATACAAGAATAAACTCTGTTTCACATACTCACAACGGTAAACCTACTTTTTGCCTGACCTTGTTTGTGAGTCATGTACAAAATGAAATTTTCTTATGGTCACATTAAAAAAGTAAAGATCCTGGCCCGTTTGGCTTAGAGCGTCAGCCCACAGACCAAAGAGTCGAGGGTTTGATTCGATCAAGGGCACGGGCCGCGGTTGTGCCTTGATCCCCGGCCCTGGTGGAGGTTGTGTGGGAGGCAACCGGTCAATGTGTCTCTCTCACATCAGTGTTTCCCCCCCCCCCCGCCCCCAAGTCTATCTAAAAATCAATGAAAAAATATCCTCGGGTGAGGATTAAAAAAAAAAAGTAAAGAGAAATAAGGAAATTTATTTTAATAATATTATATATGGTCTTATAGATACAGAATGTTACCATTTCAACATGTAGTTAACATAAAGGTCATTCATGAGATATTTTGCGTTCTATTTTTCACACTAAGACTGCAGAATCTGGCACGCATTTTATGCTTACATCACATCTCAGTTTGAACTAGATACTTTCAAATGCTCGGTAGCCCTGTGGCTCCCGTTCTGGATAGACAGACGAGAGGAAAGGCAGAAATGGACACCAGGACCTGCAACCCTGAGTCCAACGAGGCAATGTTAAAGGGCAGAGGGCGCACGGAGGAGCAAGGTGCCAGTCCCGGTGGAAGCGGATGGCGAAGACGGCGCACAGGACGAAGTGATGCTTGACTGAGGTGTTCTAAGATGAGCGGGCGTGTTCATGAGAACGATGTACCTAAAGCACGCAGCCTAGTGCCTGCTGCAGAGCAAATACTCCATACGCACTGGTCCACCCCCCCCCCACCCCTTGCCAGTGATGAAAGAATGAAATGATTGAGAAATGCTCAGTAGCTTCTTCCTTCTTTTTTTATTTTTTGGTCCGTGCCCCTAGCAGGAACCAAACCCGGGACTCCCTGGTCCGCAGGCCAATGCTCCAACGACTGAGCCAAACTGGCCAGGCCACTTTCTTCCTTTTTATAACAATGGAGAC